AGAGTGTGAGGTTTTAACCGGATAGCTAAAGTTAGGCATTTGATTTAAATACAGCGAGATCGCTTTAAAACGAATTAGATTTTATTAAGTTTTCAAAAAGTATTTTCTAAACACTTATGGGCTAGCGAGAGCAGGCATAGGGCTTTAGGGGTATAATCCGAGATAAGACCACGAAAGTGTGAGTTGAGGGTTTTTAAACTGATAATTTCTACAGAACCATCTAAGTTAAACATCTTTATATGCTTAGGTTCGATTAGATCCACTTAGGTTCACTATATTACATACCGACCGTTTTATTATAATTATTCCCTTAATTCGATTTAATTTTCCCCTCCTTTAACCTAAAAAAAACCCAACGTGACAACATCCGCCTTAGCTAAACTAGCAAACCTTTATAGCACTAGAGTGATTACAAAGTCCTTGTGGGTTCGACATCTTTTTATTACTACCACGATAGGCTGTGCACTTGCAGTTAAGATACCGTTAGACACATTAGGTCGATTGCACCACATCAATTGTACCATGTTAGCATTATCTTCTTTCCTTCTTCACTTTAGAGGCTTCTGCGAGCATGAGTTTAGAAGTGAGAACATAACATAAGGTCATCAGAACTTCAAGTCTTCAGAACCGCGTCTTCAGAGTCTTCAACACTTGATTGTGAGAACCTATTTCTTGGAGCCTTGGGTCTTTAGAACTTCAAGTCTTTAGAATCTTTAGAACTGCGTCTTCAGAGTCTTCAACACTTTGTTTTTAGAACCCTTATCTTTAGAACTTTGGATCTTAGAAACTTGAGTCTTTAGCATCTGAACTTGAGTAGAAACTTATGTCTTCAAATCTTCTGGCGGTTTCTTTAGAACCCATTGTCTTTAGAAACATGAGTCTTCAACATCTGGACTTAAGTAGCAACTTCTATCTTCAGATCTTCTGACTGGTTTCTTTAGACAAATATCAGAGCTTACACTTCAGATCCTTCTGGAGTGTCTTGCTACTGTTCAACAGAACTTGTGTAGTGCAAAAGCGGAACTAATTATGTTATAATGTCTTGGCCACACCATACATCAGAAGCAGAACCTGTTTGTTAAGTACTCAACAATAACAAACATTAGTATAACAAAATTATTCACACAAATATACTCATTTTTTATCATCAAAACTCAGATAATATTGCAGAACCAAATCTTGTTCTAACAACCTCGATTTCATAAGCGAGATAACAAAGGGTGTCACAAAAACTTGCCACTTTATCCCTCGCGTAAAGTTCCACTGAGGGGAAAAGTGGAACTGGTCATGGTTTCAATTCCCAACAATAATATTTTTTGGATTTTCAAAGTGAACCACTTTAACCCTCGATTGGAATTAATACACAATGGGTAAACTCCTATTTATTGGAACAACTTTGGTTCTGCAACTATCTTTGAATTTTGATGATAATAAAGTATACATTGTATAAAAAACAATGTTTTACTGTAATAGTTTTGTTACGTGTGTAGATTCTGATAAGTAGACTCTGGACTCTGGACTAGCAAGTTCAGGACTCTGTACTAGTGAAGTTTTGGACTCTGAACAAGCAAACTTTGAACTCTGAACAAGCAAACTTTGAACTCTGAACATCAAACGCACTATGAGAATACAAAGATGTGTTTACAACGAAAATATGCATATAAATATCAAGTTAACTCTTGTGGAAGAATCTTATCTAGAACGACTCTGATATATTCAAGACTCTGAAGTCTCACGTTCTCAAAATTCTGAAGTCTGACTTGGATCAAGCTTCATTATGTCTTATTCAAAGTCTCTGATTCAAGAAGATAAACTCTGAAAGAAGATATGGATAAAATATTGAGGAAATAATACAATATCAAATATCCTCTCCACTACCCTGCAAATTAGGATAAAAGATTGTACTTTTGTACCAACTTTGTTTCTACACGTCTCATCCTCTCTCCCACTTTACTGCAAGCGCCACTCTTCTAATTTACAATCAAATGTCTTCATGCAAGCTGTCATATTAAGAAATTCCAACTTCACCCTCCAATGGATTTATTCTTCATCTATATAAAGAGGTAAATGAATCATGGAAGAATAACGATGTAAGAGGAAACAAGTGAGAAGCACTGAGAACGAAAACCAGAAAATCTACACAAAGAAGAAAACATTTGCTTGTAAAGCTTTATACTTTTTCATTTCTTTGTTAGAAAATATTGTTGCATTAAACTATGTGTATCATCTTTCTTAGAAGCACTTGATAAACACAATCTTGTAATCTTAACCTTTGATTAATTTCCTTAAGGAACTAGGGTATATTCATAATCCTTGTGAAGATATTGGTTGTGGTCTTTGTGTTTGTAATCTAAGTATTGGTTAGTGGGTTAAGTCTTTATTGAGAAGGCGAATTTACCTTGGCGGGTAGACTGGACTAACCTAGTTAAAGGGGAACCATGATAAAAAAAATACTTGTGCTCTTTTATTATTGTTATTATATGCGTTGTCTATGTTTGAGTGAACGAAAAGTTTTATTCTTGAAACTCAATTCAACCTCCCTTTCTTGTGTTTCATTGAACCTTCACTATTTAAAAAATGTTAGTTTTAACCTGTTTTTTTTTAATCTGCAAAGCATCAAATTTATTGAAAAATTCTAAATTCTTCATCATTATCAACAACAAAAACAACAAAAATAAAATAAATAGAATCTTTAAATAATAAATCTCAATAACAACAACAACAATAAAAACAACAACAACAACAATAAAACTAATAAAATCTTTAAATATTAAATCTCAACAACAACAAAAACAAATAAACAAAATCAACAAAATCGTTAAACGTTAAATATCAAGAAAAACAACAACAATATACTGGTCAAAAAGTACATGTGTGCTCGTTCTCCCTGTAAGGTCAGTGAGACTCAGAGACCTTAGTAGGTTTATAACACGATATGGTGGTTAGAGTTTCCCTAAGACGAGAAACCATGTACGATGGTTTTTAGAGGTAGTTTAGAAGACCTGCTCACGTAAGGTGAGAGACTTTTCTGATGATCGGTGATGCTTGGTAACAATCTTATAGTTACGAGCATTCGTGTGTTAAGAGTATAGTGAGTGTTGTGTTTTTTAGGGTGTAGAGAATGTGTACGACTTAGGATCGGTGAAGTTTCATATTCCTATGGGAGACTGTTTTATGTCCCTAACACATTCATGGGGAGAAACCCCAATACAATTATTTTGTTGCTTGTCTTGTCGCTTTCGTTTATTATTGTTTATTTAGTCTCCTTCATGATTGCACATGTATAAATCAAGTTCGAATAGACTCGTTAATTCATTTTAGCATGCATAAATCAATTGTTATTTTTAAAATTTGGTCATGATGATTTAAGTCAATCACCTGAGTTAATGAAATAAGAACCATAGATGATATCAATTCAAGTCATGTGGGAAGTGGAACCCCAAACTATTTAAAAAAATTTGAGAAATTGAGATTTCTTGTGTGTGATTCGAATCATTGACAATCCATGACTCGAATCTAGCAAAATAGAGACAAAATAAGAAATTTTGGTATTTGTGATTCGAATAACAAATTACACTTGATTCAAATCATGCTGCTCTGTGATTCGAATCGCAGTTTGTGCATGACTAGAATCACAAACTTTCTGTTAGCCACGAACTTGTCTGATTCGAATCAAGCTTAACACATGATTCAAATCATGAACCTGTGTGACTCAAATCACAGTCAAATCACATGAAAATGAGTCACTTTCTCTATGAGATCTTGTTTCACACTACTTGCTTATTTGACTCAAATCATGAAGTGCACTTGATTCAAATCTAACAAACTTTTTATATCAATTTTTGTACTTAATATCAAACACATATAAAATCATTGTCATCATTTTGCATGAGTGAATCTCATAATCAACATTGTGATTTTTTGTGAAATATGTTGAGAATAATAAGTCAAGTGTGAGTTTGAGTTCTACATTGGTTATAAATGTAGAGACTTGAGCATTTATAAGTGGGAGAATCCACACATCTATTATCTTAAGGTTTTGGGTGATTATGTGGCGTCTCTCTCACTTGTGTGTTGCTCTTGGTTCAATGTTGATGCTCCTCCTAATGAACTAACAAAATCAACACTCTTACTTTTGAAAAGTCCAAAACTCTTGCAATTAAATTTCTTTCTTCTTCGACCTTTGTTTTGATTTCTGATCTTGATAATGAAAATTTTGTAATTGATTGAGGTATATGTCATCTTGTAACACATCACCAAATGAGAAAAATGACAGTATAATTGTGAATTAATGTAAATGTATTGCTTTTACTACTAAATGAAATCATAATAACTACTATAAACTCTCACGTACAACCGTGGGTACCAAGATTCGAGTACAGAGGTAACTCTCAAAAATTACCAAAGCAGTATGTCACACTCATAAAACTATTAGTTGTTGCTTCTTCTCTAAGCATAGTGTAACTCTTAACGGTCAATAGAAAACATTTTAAAATTTTAAGACTTTAATGTCATTATTATGTATCCACTTTTTTTCTTCCACTCCAATTATTTAACTAATGTTGTCAATGTCATGAAACGCCTATTCTCTTAGGAGTAAAGTATGGAGTGTGAAAACAAGACAATGACAGAGGTAGGCGTGGAAACAAAACAAAACATACTGTATATTTCCCAATTCCAACAGCAATCCATTGAATAACATTTCTTAACGGATTTCTCTCTTTCATCCACACGTATCCTTCAATCCAAACCCATTCCTCTCTCATCATCACATGCATTTTTCTGTTTCCTTTCTAATCTTCCAAAATAATAATATTCTCTTCTTTTGTCTCTTTCTCTGTTTACATTTCACTCTTTTATAAATCTATATCCTTTGCTCATAATTACTAAAACCCTTGAACCTCTGCACATCTGTAACTGTATAATCTTTCGGTATTTTTATTTTACTTTAATTCCCCTTAAAAATAATGAAAAACTCATTTCCTTAGATAATCTCTACCATGATCACAAATCATCCACTCCTAATCCTTTTATTATCCCTAATCTTTCTCCCACTAGTTAATTCTCAAGTTAATTACCGATACTGCAACCGAACATGTGGTTCATCCGAACCCTCCCCTTATCCATTCGGATTCTCTTCCGGCTGCGAAATTCGCCTCAACTGCACCATCGACGGTGGAATCTTCATCGGTGAATTCCCAATCCAAACAATAACCTCCAATAGTATAATAGTAAACATCAAAGCACAATGTAATCGTCCATTTGAAAAGTTCCACCAGCTCTTCAGCCACAAATACGCACCTACTTCCCGAAACGTGATTCTGTTACAGAACTGCACGGATAATCTCTTGCCTTGTTCTATACCGGAGACTCTGCTTCCGAATCGATTCGAATCGGAATCTAACGGCTGCGGTGACATCTCCGGTAGCGGCGGTGGAAAATTGAGTTGTTATTTTGAAAATAATACGAGGCGTTTCGTGGATGAGAAAAGGTTGGAGCGAATCGGGTGTGAGTACTTTATGTCTTCTATATCAACGGACAATTTGAGGAAGAATTTGGATTCGGCGGTTTCTTTGGAAGTGGCTACGATTGAGCTTGGATGGTGGCTTCACGGAGATCGGTGTCTTTGTTCTGATCATGCTAATTGTACTGAAATTGAGTCGCCGATTGATGGAAAGCTAGGGTTTCGGTGTGGATGTAAGGAAGGATTTGTCGGCGATGGTTTTTTGGCCGGAAATGGATGCCGGAAAGGTTTGTTCTTTTCCTTTTCTATTTATTATTTTCTTTAAAATGTCAGCATAGTAGTTAATAATTTTTAATAGATAAGTATCATTTTAGAAATTAGGGAGAAATAATTAAAATAAGGGTCATGCTAATCAGGGTTGGTTAAGAATTCTAATTAAACAAAAATAAACAAAATATTTTATGTAATCATTTAGTACGCACAATATTTTTTTAAAAGTTTATTATTTTTATTTTTAATGTATTAAATATATATAGTACTCTAGCATTTCCCCTAAAATAAATCTTAAATTTAAATTTTGGTCTTCTATTTAACTTTTTTTTTTATAGATTTTTTTAGATTTTTGTTTTGTTCCCACTATTTTGATGATTTATAATATAGTATGTAATATAGTACAATTTAACTTTTAATTGTGTAAGATCAATATCACTTCTTTAGGGGTATGCTTCCTAATTTAAAAAGTGGAGATGAGAAAAAATTTAAAAATTGTAAAATAAAGAGAAAAACTCAATTATTAAAAAATTAATTTTAATTAAAATAAATAGCTAAAATTATATTTAAATTTTAAAATAAGTTAAAAGTGAAAGTGTTGGATTAAGATAGAGAGTTCCTCTTAAGACTTCTGATTCGCTATCGCATACGGATCAAAAACGAGTATTTTGTAAAATGTAGTATAATAATAATGGCTCGAGTCCTATCGCAAGGATTCTTGATTTTATTATTAACTAATAAAAATCGAATGGGGGGTTGGTTTTAGGATCGATTTATAACGCGAAATAAGTGATTATCAAAATAAACTGAAAAGTCAATCTGCTGATTCGGTTTTTACCTATCATCGGCTATCGTAATTTCAATTCCCTAAGCGGATTGTTTATTCCTATTCGAGTACAAACTCAGTGGCAAGCGCAATGAGAATAGTGTGATGTAAGTTCCTATTACTCGAATTAAGCAAATAAAATTAAGCCTCATGAATTAAGCAAACATGAATTAATCGGACACAATAACGAATTAAGCAAACATTGACGTGGCTATGGTTAGGATCATACAATCAATCAAATTAAATCAATATACTCTATGCAATTTGAATTAAGCATACAAGAACATAGATTAATATTGAACGAAATAAAAGATGAATTAGAATTATTATAACCTCATGGTATCAGAACCTGAATACAACAGATTGTCAGGATGAATTAGTTCTCCATGAAAATTCGTACAAAAGGCAAAAGTAATTTTTCTCAATAATTAAAGGTCACAATCAACAGTGTACGGCTGCCTAGGTATACGTGCACACAAGAGAATTCGGGTCAAGACTCGACTGAGTCAAAAACATAACTCAGACCCAAAACAAATGATCTAAAATTTAAATAAATCTAAAGCTGCAACTTCAATGATTTTTTCAACCTTATTACATCCGAATTAGCTTCTGGCCACAACTAGAAAGTTGTAGGTCTTTCTCTTAGCTTTCCAACGCATGGTCAAACGCCTCGATCCGATTCATGTAGCTCCAGTTATGAATATTTCCGCGAAAGTTGTAAATGCTGAAAATAAAGTACGAAAATCAAATTAAAACAAAAATAAACTAAATTAGAAAAACATTATAAAATATAAAAATAAATAAAGAAAAGCATAGAAATGCTTAAATTCAAATATGGAAGAATGTGCATTAAAATGCACTGATCAAATTCCCCCACACTTGAACTTTTACACTCCGAGCAAAATAAAATCAAAAGAAACACAACAACATCATCAGTTACTCATTCCAGGCTACAAACTCTTCTTCAGTTAAGCTTGCTTCGATAGGTACTAATCTTGCACACTAAGGATATCGTAAGAACACTACTCCGCAATTGTGCAGTCATAAGCCTCCTGTATATACAACCCAATTTGAATCATGTTATTATGCCAAAGCCTATCTTACTCATCCTCCTTTTTGCTCTCTTTCATTGTGGCATAATCACATTAAGTCTGTTATCTCCACACACACATAGTAAGGAGATCGGTTAGTGACTCTGATCCTTTTTGCATGGGGTTCTGGTACATGAGTGATATAACTCTTTGCTTACCCAATTGTAGTTGCGGGGGATTGGATCGTAATCTGCCCTACCAAGTTCAGTACCAGAAACCTCTGAACCAACCAACAACGGGTCTGATAATCAAATTTGGTAGGTTCCACAACCGTTGGGTTAAGTTACCGGGTGAGGGTTACCAAACTTAGAAGGTGCGTTCTCTATATTTTTTTAAATAAAAACCTGGATCACTCACTTATATTCATCGACTTTCCTACGTAGAGCATGTGTGAGATAGTGCTGACTGCTAAGATAAACTACTTAAGAGCTGTTAGAGAATGAGAATTCAAGGCTATGTCATATTCAAATTAATTTTCATATGCAGGAGACTTACGGTGTTAAGACGATATCGATATTGTGAACTTTTCCCAAGTCTCCACAACTAACCTCAGATTAATCTTATAACCCAAAACTTACAAAAGGATGCAATTTTTTATTTATAATAACTGAAAACAAAACAAAACAACGAACAACAACAAAGAAAATAAAACAAATAAACCATTCCATCCCCCACACTTAAAATACACATTGTCCTCAATGAAAGAAACAAGCATAAAATAAGAGCGAGGAGAAAGAGGAAAGAACACACCCGAGGAGTCAAGGCGGATAAATGATCGCATAAGTAGCCTTTTCCAACGAGAGCTCTTTTATAGTTTCCTCTTCCAACGTGGAACTCTCATGGAATAGCTTGAGACGGTGTCCTTTGACTTTGCAATTTTTACCAGTATCTTCACTTTTTATTCCTAGATCAAAAATGTTCTTCTAAAAGTAAAAGTGTCAAATGGGCACGTGAACGTGATCTTATCTTTCACAACATCAAAGATCAAAAGATTACGGGGCTGCCTCACTGCTTTTGCTAAGTGAGATCCTATGCATACACATGGGCGGACTAATATCATAAATATCATCTAAGGTCCATCCAATTTCTTTCTTATGCTTCTTCAAAACCTGCAAAATTTTACTTTCTTGATCAAAATAAAGTTTAGAAGAAATTATAACCGAGAGTTTTTCATTCATCTCTAGATAAGCATAATTAAGATATTCAGGAATTAGTTTCAGCTCTCGGGAAGGTAGTTGTTTGATAGATGGTTTGTTTCGGGAAGTCGGAGTGTCAAGAGCTTCTTCCACATGAACAACTTCATTTGCAACCTCATCTGTAGTAAGAATATCAACTTGAAAGGCGGCCTCAATTTCAGGACAAACAAAGCAAATTTTAATATCAGTACAAACATCACAAGAGTAAGCATCATCAAAATCAGATAATGATGGAAAATCAACTGCAAATAAACCAGTACAATTATCATCAACAGTCTCAGAAAGCAACTCTATTGAAAAAACAAAATCATCTTCCAAGGGTTGTTGGTTAGATCCTTGAGCTTGTTGCATGATATTCATCAAAGAGGCAAGTTGTTCAATTTGTGTTTGCAAAGTATGGAGAGTAGAATCTATTTGTTGTTGAAACTGTAGATTATTTGCAGCAATTTGTTTGACAATATCCTCTAGTGAAGGCCCAGAAGGTGCAGAGCACACAACCTGGAATTCCTTCATATGCTTATGTGGATCCTCACCTGCAAGACCATTAAACTTTGACAACAAGTGTATTAAATTAGATTTCAATTCAAAAGGTGCATCATCTGTAGGATAGTCAATATGTAAACAATTATAGTTCACATCAGGGACAACCAACTTCCTAAAAGTTCTTTGTTCATCCATATTATCAATAAACACATAAATACCAACTATATCCCAAACAAGCAGAAACAAATAAAAAGAAGGAAAATGATTAAAATAAATTCAAAAAAAATAAATACAAAAACACCAAATTTAATCTAATTAATCAAAATAAAAAATTTTTGAATTTTTTTGACACTGAAAATAATAAAAAATTAATTAAAAATAGAAAAAAAAGAGGAATTTGCAATTTTGAGGACTGAAATCTTTTAGAATTTTATTCTAAAGGAGTACTGTTCGTTGATATTTTTCTGAACTTCTGGAAAAAATTCGGAGCAAATCGGAACAGTAGGTTTCAAACTTACCTGGTAGGCTGAAAAACTGTACTGTAACCGAGATTGCAACCCTGAAAATCAACAAACACAACAAAAAAAATAAGAAAAAAATAGCAAGAACACTATACCTATGACTAAAATATTAATTAATAACAATGAGAATCCCCGGCAACGGCGCCAATTTGATCCGCTGTCGCACACGGATCAAAAACGAGTATTTTGTAAAATGCAGTATAGCGACAATGGCTCGAGTAGTATCACAAGAATCCTTGATTTTATTATTAACTAATAGAAATCGAATGGGAATTGGTTTTTGGATCGATTTATAACACAAAATAAGTGATTATCAAAATAAGCTGAAAAGTCAATTTGCTGATTCGGTTCCTACCTATCATTGGCTATTGCAATTCCAATTCCCTAAGCGGATTGTTTATTCCTATTTGAGTACAAACTCAGTGACAAGCGCAATGAGAATAGTGTGATGTAAGTTCCTATTATCCGAATTAAGCAAACATAATTAAGCCTCATGAATTAAGCAAACATGAATTAATCGGACACGGTAACGAATTAAGCAAACGTTGGCGTGACTATGGTTAGGATCATACAATCAATCGAATTAAATCAATATACATTATGCAATTTGAATTAAGCATACAAGAACATATATTAATATTGAACGAAATAAAAGATAAATTAGAATTATTATAACTTCAAGGTGTCAGAACCTGAATACAGCAGATTGTCAGGATGAATTAGTTCTCAATGAAAATTCGTACAAAAGCCAAAAGTATTTTTTCTCAATAATCAAAGGTCACACAATCAATGGTGTACGGCTGTCTAGGTATACGTGCACACAAGAGAATTCGGGTCAAGACCCAACTGGGTCAAAAACATAATCCAGACCCAAAATAAATGACCTAAAACTTAAATAAATCTAAAGTTGCAACTACAACGACTTTTTCAACCTTACTACATCGGAATCAGCTTCTGGCCACAACTAGAAAGTTATAGGTCTTTCTCTTAGCTTTTCAACGCACGGTCAAACGCCTCGATCTGATTTCTGTAGCCCCGGTTATGAATGTTTCCGCGAAAGTTGTAAATACTGGAAAATAAAATACGAAAATCAAATTAAAACAAAAATAAACTAAATTAAAAAAACATTATAAAATATAAAAATAAATAATAAAAAATCATAAAAATACTTCAATTCAAATATGAAAAAATATAATTAAAATGCAGTGATCAATATTCATTACAATTTGTAGATATTAAATATCAATAACTTGTGTCAAAAATTAAATCTTAGGCTAAATATTTACATTCTTTTAAATCAACTAGTACAACCTAATTCAACACGATTCTTTAGCTGTACAACAAAAGCTTTAATATATTCATTTATTTAATTATAATATCTTTTAAAGAAATTTTTTAGTCGCTTTTTATGAAGTTCTTTTTGAATTATTTTGAGATAGTATTTTTGTAATTGTAAGGGAGATACATTATTGACCAGTATCCAAAGACACTTTTTATAAACCCTTAAATTTTTTATTTTTAAATATGCATATTGAATGCATTGATAATTGCAAATTAAAATGATTAATTTTATATTTGAAATTTTTAAAAATATATATATTAAATGTATTGGAAACTAAAATGATACTCTTTCAATTCCTTTTTATTAAGTGTTCTTTTTTAGAGAAATTTTTTTTTCTTTTTAAGTATTACATTTCAAGATATCATTGATTTTAGTTTAGTCAAAATTATCTCTAATTATTATTATAGAGATAGAAAAAATTAAATAAATCATTAAAAAATTAAAGATATTATAAAAAAAAACTTTGATTAAAAAGTAATAATAATTATTAGTTATCTTAATATATATAAAAAAATTAAGAAATAATAATTAAAATATTTTTTATTTGAAATTTTTAAAGAGTTTCTATGAAGCATTGGTTGACAATACGTTCAATATTCATAATTACTATTATGAAACTTAAGTTTTTAGGTAGAAGAATTTTGTGCTTTGACTAAACATATACTTAGAAAATGTTTGATGTTGTTTTCTTAATTATCTTAAAGTGACGGAAAATATATACTCTATCTGTTCTTTTTTAAATGATATTTTTAGAAAAAAATTATTTCTTTTTAATTGTTATATTTTAAAGTTCAAGATAATATTAACTATAATTTTGTTAAAATTATTTCTTATTATTATTATAGAGAGAGAAAATTAAATAAATTATTAAAAAATTAAAGATATTATAAGAAAACTAATCTTTATTTAAAAAATAAGGTATGTATAAAAAAATAAAAAAATGACAATTAAAAAGTAAGAGAGGAGCAGACCTTAAACTTGCGTGTTAGACTTGTCTAGATCAATCATGCATGATTACCGGGAATTTGAGTCAACAAAACTAATCAATTAGCCAAGTTGGTCAAATTTTCTTTTCATGATTTGGTGCACTTTTCTTTTAATTCATCTTTTTCATTTTGTCTCAACATTTGAAAGAGTTCATTATTACCCGCAAAATGGGGAAGTTTCGCCTAAAAGTCTAAGGTAGTCGCTCAATATGGCAACTTACGTATAAATAAAAATATATAAAAATACTAAGTTTAGTTTTCTTTTTCCTTCCAGTAGCTTATAGGTTAATATTTCAAACAACAATGAATGAGGGATTTGATTCATTTTTAATGTTTTTCAATAAAAAATTTATTAGAAAATAAAAGAACTTATTGGCGTTTATCTGAAACTCTATTAAGTGTTATGAGAATGGTTAAATTTTACATCCCTTATAATAAGAGATGTGATAATACTCCTAATATTTTAAAATTTTGGATGGAAATACGGCTTATCTCTCGTAGATATCCATCCACCTATAAATATTGATGTGAGTTGAAGAAATAGAAAAAATTAATCAAAAACAAAATTGTAGCTACACTATTGATGTGACTCTAATGGAAAGGAAGTTGGTTGTTGAGTTATTAAGTTTTAAGCCAGCCTTTGTTTGTTTAAGAATGGCTTGCCATACGTAAGGACGGTTCCTTATGTAAGCATGTTTTCTTTTTTGTTTAAGAATGAAAAATGAATTTTGGAAGAGAGAATTAAAGTTGCTTAAGGATCACTCCGTTATCTTGCTTGTTTTGAAACTCTATTCCCTGTATTAATAATCTTAACTGGAAACACACAGCCTCCTCACCAACATGCAATCCAACAAAATACATGTCCGGAAGATGTGGAGGAAGAGCTAGGTTCATTGTCTTAATTGGAGGTATGTGCCTATTTCATGTTCCAAAAACCATTTGAGATTGTTTTAGGATTTAAACAAATATCATATCAATTGAACTGCAATGCCAACTATAGCTTATATTATTTTGCAGGGTTTGTTTTTGGTGTTTCAATGATGATTACTCTGGGTTCAGTATGTTGTTACTTTCGCCGACGCACCAAATTGAGAATCACAAAGAGCACAAAAAGACGCTTCACCGAAACTACTAACAATTACAGCATTCCTATCTATCCCTACAAAGACATTGAAAAAGCCACAAATAGTTTCTCAGAGAAACAAAGGTTGGGAACCGGTGCATATGGTACAGTTTATTCTGGAAAACTATACAATGATGAATATGTCGCCATCAAAAGAATAAAACACAGGGACAATGAAAGCATTGAACAAGTCATGAATGAGATCAAGCTAATTTCCGCTGTTAGTCACCCGAATTTAGTGCACTTGTTGGGCTGTTCCATTGAATATGGAGAACAAATCTTGGTGTATGAGTTCATGCCTAATGGAACACTGAGTCAACATTTGCAAAGAGAAAGAGGAAATGGACTTTCATGGCCTGTTAGACTCAAAATTGCAACAGAAACAGCACAAGCCATAGCTCATCTTCATTCCGCAATTAGTCCACCTATTTACCATAGAGATATCAAATCAAGTAACATACTTTTGGACCGCAATTTCGGATCCAAAGTAGCAGATTTCGGGCTTTCTAGGCTAGGAATAACAGAAATATCTCATGTTTCAACTGCGCCACAAGGAACCCCTGGCTACGTCGACCCACAATATCATCAAGATTTTCACCTTTCTGATAAAAGCGATGTATATAGCTTCGGTGTTGTTCTTGTTGAGATCATAACAGGACTAAAAGCAGTTGATTTTTCTCGTCCTCATAATGAAGTTAACTTGGCGTGTCTTGCTGTTGACAGAATCAGAAAAGGGCTGTTAGTTGATATTATAGACCCAATAATATTTCTTGATCCCCAAGCAAGCCATGATGGGTGGACACTTTCCTCCATACACAAGATAGCTGAGGTGGCATTTAGATGTCTTGCATTTCACAGGGATATGAGGCCTTGTATGACAGAAGTAGCAACTGAGTTAGAGCAACTAAGGTTGAATGATAGGAACTCTTTCGAAGAAAACAACTCCATTATAGCTTCAATAGATCACATACCTTCATGCTCTTCTTCTAGCGAAAGTGAGAAGCCTTTGAGTACCACTGCATTGAAGAACGCCGCGCCTAAGGATAAAGGTCATCTTAACCTCGAGACTAGACCCGTTTCTTTTAAGTCGATTGGTAGGCTCAATAGTAGCTCACCGGTTTCGGTTCAAGACCCAGACCCATGGTTTAGTGAGCAGAGTTCTCCTTCGTCAAGTAGTTTCCCCAGCAAGTCATTTGATCACGGATCAGACTCATATGGTCAACAAACTAGTTTGTAGTTTATTGTAACTGCCTATAAGGTTGTTTGAAACAAGCTTATCTCCCTGTATGATAGCTTTTATGATATGTAACATTAAGCAATGTTTGAATTTTTAACTTGGTAATTTTAAAATCTTGTAAATCTAGAAAAGACACTGCCAAGGATTTTCACATGTTCAAAGGGTACACCATTACCAAATGTTATACTGGAGGCTTCCATTGTTCTAATTTTGAGATGAGAAAGCACAAAAAGAATAAGAACAAGAATAACTGAAATCTTCCATAGCACCTCCCATGAAAAATATATGACAAAAGGATGCAAGAGAAAAAATAGTTAGGCTGTTTAATGACGATACAGTTAAGGCTGGTTTCATAGTATGTGAGACTCCTGATCAGTTGGAAACACTAGAGGCTATGGCTTTTAGTGTGAAGCACGAGACTGGTATAGTTTGTATAAGCATGATTGATATTTTTTTTCTATACACATTGGCTGATCTGGATTAACGTTTATTTGAATCTAATTCATCTATTATTTATGCGACGAAGATGTGACTCAACTCTAAGAGAAATGGACTGAATATAATGAACCAACGAGACTTAGAAAATTAGTGTCACTGTTTGTTTTCCCTACGGCCAAATACGTTGTTGTTGCTATTGCTACTGGAAATCAAATTACGATTCTGAGTAAAGAGGATGAGTATCAGCAATCGTATGCAATTTTTACCTGTAAGTTCTTCTTAGGAATCTTAGATGTGATTATAATTACTTTAATTTTGAAACTGAAAAGAATTTGATTCTGATGTTGAATTGGTGTTTGTTAGGTTCTGATTTTGGTACATTTAGTGTGGGAGCTTGGTTTGAAGATAATGAAATTCTTGGCGTTGCTGATGACTATGATATTCTGTATTTTATTAAATTCAATGGTGAAGTTGTGGCAGAAATTACAAAGAGGCATTTGAAAATCTCTTCACCAATTGTTGGTTTATTTTCTAACAATGACTCAGATATGGAAGAGTCTTACTTGTAAGTAATTTTCTTTTCGGTGCTTCTTTTGTTTATCCTATGCTATATCGAATATTTGTGACGTGGATTTTTTAGCGATCTTGAGATTATGTCCATACTATCATAATTTGGTAAACTTACACAGTTAAAAATAATTGAGTATACATTTGAAGTTTTGCCATTGTTTGTGATTTAGGTTCACTGCCATTACATCAGATGACTCACTTCAACAAATTGAGATCCGTTATGTACAAGGCATTTATACCTCTCCTAAGCACGTCCTTAATCACATGAATCATCTCCGTAACAATGTTTATTGCTTTGACCACCACCATGAACTTAACCTTTTGCGGTTATTCACACAATGTCTAGTATGCATGTTTTTCATGTTATTTTCTCAATTATTTGCAAATTTATGCAATGGTTGACTCGTATATCACATATAATATCATGTAACATACAGATATATAAATTTTTTACAAAAAATAACTAATTAAAGGCATGTAAATACTTTAGCGGTGATACTAATTTTTTCTCTATTTTGTTTTATTTTGAAAACAAACTATTTCTTGTGGACAGATGAGTGATCATATTTTGTAACTAAAGATGGGAATATGCATATTGAAACATGATGTTGTCCACTTTATATTATAGTCAACCTATGAGGTTTCTCCGGCATGTTAAACAGATTTCTCAATTGCGAATCATGAAAAAATAACAATTTGTTTAAATTCTGCTAAATAGCGTGTTTAGCACCACTCTGTATTAAATAATGTATTGCAGAACACTATTATTTCTATAGTTTATCCATGAAGTGTGCTTTTTACATTACAGGAATATGATAGTTACTGGAAAATGATGCAAAACTATGTATCTAAATATTTGAATTGTACTGAATGAATTTGTTTTTTATTTAATATTTATAGTTGTAGTTGAGGGTGAGGATGAGAAGATTGAGTTGCTCTTAGGGAAGTCAAGGGAAAAGATTTTGCTGAACTAATTGCCAATGGAAGAGAGAAATTGGCTCCAGTTCCTTCTGGTGGAGGTGTTGTTGTTTCTGCTGCATCTGGCGGTGATGCTGTAGCAGGTGCACCGGCTACCGAAGCAAAGGAAGAAAAGAAGGTTGAAGAAAAAGAAGAGTCTGGTGATGTAAGTTTCTAAAATTTAGCTCTATTAGTTGATATTTGTTGGATTCATGAATCTGTACTAACAAATAAATGCATCTAAGTCATCTTTGTTTTACAGGATATTGGATTTATTTGGTTTGACTAGAAGAGATCAAACACAAGATTTAGCTCATATATACCTTTACAAGATGAGTTTGAAAATTGAAAAGCCTTAAAATCCTTTATTTTAACCACAAATGGACATAGTTATATTTTACGAACTTTGTTGTCGACATCTAAGACTATAAGACTGTTCAAAATAGTTTACTGAAATAACTTATTTTTATAAGCTCTAAGTTTTTGTTTATGACTTCTTGTGTAGATTGTAAGAACATTGGAAGGAGATGTTTCACTAGATGACTTGAAGGAGGGAATGAAAGCAGGGGGCCTCCTTGCTCATACCCCTTCATCCGGTAGCTCAGAGTACGACACAAGGCATATCTTGGAATGGAGTGCATAAATATGCCTTTAGTAATATGGTATAATTTAGTGATAGTGCCAATTTTATTTTAGACATATGCAGCACTCTAATCCATCTATTATATATAATTTTTAGCAATTTCTCTTTATACTCTTATATAATATGGGGCAACTCTTAAAATCTCAAAATAATTTTTTATTATATTTCATTTACTAATAAAAATCAAAATATTTTTAAATTAATGATTTTATCCTTATTATTTTTGAATATTTAAATTAATTAAATTCAAATCTTTTCATTATTTTTTATTCTACCGTTTTTTAATTGATGCTAATATTAAACTATATGGATAATAATTATAAAATTTACTTTAATAGTTAATAATTGATGACAATATCTGTAGGGGCAATTCCGAGGAGAGAGCATTTTACTTGGGATGAGAGACACACCACTTGTCCATCTAAAATCTTAAGGTAATAGATGAGTGGGTTCTCTCATATATAAGGGAGGGGAGTCACAACGCTCTCCCTCATGTGGAATGACTCTCTTCCAGATACACTTGTTGTACCATCGCTCGATACAAGTAAGCCGGTCCCTAGCTCGATACAAATAAGCCGGTCCCTATCTCTTGTAGGGGCAATTCCGATCGATACAAGTAAGCCGGTATTCTCGAAACCAAAGGCTCATGATACCACTGTAGGAGCACCTATCTCTACACTTGTACCATCGCTCGATACAAGTAAGCCGATCCCTATCTCTTACAGGGGCAATTCCGAGGAGAAAACATTTTACTTGGGACACACCTTTGTGAGAGACACACCACTTGTCCATCTAAAACCTTAAGGTAATAGATGAGTGGGTTCTCTCATATATAAGTGCTCAATCTTCCATTTTATAATCAATGTGGGACTTCTTCCTCACACTTGATTCTCAACGATATCAAATCTTTCCAATTCTATCGTTATATAATTTTTTTATTATATTATTTTATGATAGCTAATAAATGTCAATTAATTTGATTAATTTTATTGTCATTTAAGTTTTTATTATTTACTATTGATTTTAATAGTCAATATTTTTAAGCTAATAAAATTTATTTAGCCAACATTCTGATTTAAGTAAATAATTTTATGACTAATATTTTTTAATATAAAATTTTTAACCCGTGCCTTGCATGAAAAAAATTATTACCATGAAGAGAATATGAAATAATAACGGGGACACAAAGCTACTGATCAATATTAATGGGGATACAAAGCTACTGATCAATATTAACAGGGACACAAAGTTACTGATCAAAATATTGAATATTAACGGGAACACAAAATTATTCATCAATATTGAATATTAACAGGAACACAAAGTTACTGATTAAAATTTTGAATATTAACGAGGACATGAAGTTATTGATTAAAATATTGAATATTAACGGGAATATGAAGTTAACGTTAAATTTTGTTTGTTAAATAATTTTGTCTACCTTTTATTTAATTTTTATTATATCTTAAATTACTGATGAAAATATTGAATAATAACGGAAATATGAAATTATTGATCAAAATATTGAATATTTATGGGAACATAAAGTTACTGATCAAAATATTGAATAATAATAGAACAACTTTAATGTTGGTTTAAATATTTTTAACAACAATTCAAAAACAAAAATAATATTTATATAAAATAAATATATATGATTGAGTAAAATATTTTTATATATTAAAAAAATTATAGACACCGATTTATTATCTCTTTTAAAATAAATCATTTTTTAATTATATTTTTGAAACAAATCCGCGTACCATACCGATACCCGTGCGAACACACGAGTATCCCACTAGTTGTTATCGTAATTTGAGACGTGGTTACTATGCGTAAGTTACTCATACATGTCAAATATGTAAAATTTTGAATATATGTTACAGTAAGTGATTGAATTACGAGATTAATTAATTGAATGCATCACAATCATTCACAAGAATTACTTTATAAATAATTAAAACAAAAGTCAAATGTTAATAAATATTGAACGACCACAATTCACTGATAGTGTGTTGACAAGCAATTTTTTGAACGGCCACAATTCACTTAAGTTATGGGGGTTTATTTGGCTGAAGAGGCATAAATTGGTGAAAAAACAACAAGATGGGTCGATCGAAGGGAGGACATCGACCAAGGGAGCCAATCGATGAGGACACGAGGTTTAGGTGATATCTGTCGACATGAACAGAGGTCGACGACGCAAAGACTTATATTGGCGGGAACGATTATCAACGTGCAAACCAACAAGGACGTGGGAAGATTCAAACGGTTTCCACGAAGTCCAACATGGGCCAGTAACCATCAACGATTACATATTTAGGACGTCTATTTAAGCAAATTCTTGTATTTATGTTAGAGGTCGCGTATCTTCACATTTAATAGCAATACA